GATATTGGACTCCTGCGGTAATTACGAAGGTCAAGCAGCGATCGCGGTCACGCAATTAGAGGTGTTACCGTTCGCCTACCCAACGGCAATCATGTGCAGAGGTCAATTAATTGCCTGTATCCTCTAGAGATCCAGGCGCCGCATACCCCGGAGCATACCTCGCGGCCACGACCTGACCGGATCCAACCGCCTAGAGCTGCTAAGACCTCACACTCCTATATAAAAGCCCGTCAGCCCTCGCATTAATCATTACGGCTTATTGGTTTCGTCCAAGTACACTCTCGCATCGTCTTCTTCACTTCGACCTCAGTTCAATGGATTTCAAATCTACAGGCTACCTCGTCGATATCTCATTGGAGCTGTCTTCAACAGGATCGATATTTGCCCTTATTCACTGTCTTTCTCAGTGTCTCACATTCCAGTAAGCATCTCACCCAACGGATACGGTATCTTCCCTCAATCAGGCAAATCGATGCGGCGAACCGATTTCATCATATCAGCTCAATTGGCACCTCGTTCGCGCACCGTCCACTCACTCCTTCTTCTACTTAGCTCTTTCATATTAATCGCTTTACATTTCTCACCATAATTGATGTGTGCCTCATATATACTTCCGTCAAATTACTTAATGCCGTTTTACTGTGGATGCGTCTAAGTTTGCCATATTTCAGATCGTATTCGTGTATTCACTATTCTATGCTGCCTAGCAATCGAGGCGATATGAAGAGATCTGCTAGTCCACCATCGGAAAGTTCAGCGTCAGCTCCTATCAAACAAGTGAAATCGTCGGCTAAGGATTCGCCTTCAACTAGTAAGCCTGTTTCTACCATGGACAATTCTTCTTTGCTGGATGCACTGAATGAGTTACAGAACACTGCTTTCTTCGCTCCGTCCTATAACCGCAATTATCGTCCACTTGCCTGTGCTCGTCTTTTCGATCCGAAAATCACCCCAAAACGTCCCTTGCGCGATCGAACTCCACTGGAACTCATCTCCGACCTGGCTAAAGGGAATTTTGCCGCTTATGATGTGCGTCAAGATAGCGATGATGCTTCTGAAGATCGAAGTCTTCCACCATCTGAGCGTCTTTCATTGCAGATCGCGCAGTCTCTCACGCTTGCCGAAAACTTCGACCACACTTTCAACGTCGAGCAGCTCTCTACTAGGGATTTCGTGATGATAGACGCCTTCATGCGCCATGCGGTCTACAGCGCATTTCGAGAATGGATTGTTGAAGAGTCGTGCTATCCAACGCCAGCTGACCTCGCCTATCCGCCTGTCCAGAAGTATTCCATCTATCTTGATCGTTCAGGCTTATAAAGCCCTACACACGGCGACCGAGAAAGCGAGCACGTTCACACGCGATCTCGCCAATAATCCTGACTACTGGAAATCGGAGGAGAAGTTGGCTGAGCTGAATGAAGAACTCCTTACGCTTCTGTACAATATTCAAACTCACAGGAACACCTTGACCGATATTCTGATGTCATTTGTCTTCAACCCGATCGAGGAGCAAAGGGAAGTCGTAGACCTTCTGAACTATTACAATATTAAGGTGGGATGTCTTAAATTTGTGTGCACTGCAGCCACAGGAGAAATGGCGACTGGATTCCTCACTCTCAAGAAGATCAACTCCGCTATCGCACGACTCCACAATATCACCCTAGAGTCTTCACTGCCTGCGGAAACGGTCGACATTCCAACCAGCGAAGAGCTTCAAGTGCTCACAAGGGATCCTACGAAGCCCACCACGCAGCCCACTGTTGAGCCCATGTCTCCGTCTTCCACTCCCAAACCGTCCCAGTCCTCCACGAGCAAACCCACTTCTGTCTCAACCACTACGTCCACTACGCTGCAGATTCGTTCGTCTACCTCTGTCACGACGACCGGAAAGTCCACGTCACCTCAGCAACAGAAGGTAATTGTCTCGGTCAGTCCCCATCATTCGCCGTCCAGTTCAGCCCGTTCGAAATCTCCAAGCTCAAGTTCAAGGAGGTCCGTCCGTACTGTTCGCAGAGTCGCGACTCGTCGTTCACCTTCTCAGGATCGCAGCTCCAGAGGACCATCCCGCATCTTTCGCAGAAGTGAGGATCGTCGTTCACCTTCGAGGCAGTCCGATACGCGTCAGAGACGTAGGTCACCGGCTCCTCGCTCTCCTCCTCGCAGACAATCGCCACAGGGAGAGCGGAGCTATCGATCCGTCAATCGTATGTTTCTTCTGTGAGGCTAATCATTATACTGCAAACTGCACTACCATTAAGAGTCTCACGGATCGAGCTACAAAATTAGTTTCTGTTGGAAGATGCCTTTAC